CCCGGTGCCGGGGCAGGGGGCCCCTCCGCAGCCCCCGCCTCACCCGCTTTCTTCACCCGCAGCCGCCGGGGCTTGGCCTCGGGCTCCGGCGCGGGGTCCTGCTTCTTCTTCTTCACCTTCTGCCCCCGCGGATGGTGCTGCGGAGACGCCGCCAGCATTAAATCCCTTTCCCCTTTGCAAAACAACCTCTGCTCATACAGCACCGGTTCCCCCCCCCGAAATACAGCCAGCCGCACAGGGACCCACCCGGGGAACGGGGACACGCTCACACCTTCACACGAGCTGTTATCAACGGGAGCGCGACTTACCATGGGGCAGCCCCCCGGGGAAGGCAGAGGGAGGAAAACAGAAAAGGCTGTTAGCGGACAGACGGGAGAGAATCAGCAGTGGGACAGACGGCCACAGGGACAAGGACACCGTGGACCGTGCCCTCACGGAGGGACAAGCCACACCGTGCCGTAGGGACCCCAGCCGGGAGCCACCCCGGGCACCCGCTCATCTCCTGATGGGCATTCCGGGGGGACCTGAGCTGGGACAGGGGATGTGGGGACGGCTCCGCACCTCCATCTCCTCTCGCCCACGCAAAAGGCTCCCGTCAAAGTCAAGGAGCTGCGGGGCCGTGCCGGGATGGAGGTCAGCGGGAGTGGGGAAGTGGTGATGGGGGGATTAGGCACAGCACACCTAATCCCGGTTAGCCAGGGCTATAAATAACCCTGATTTACCAAATACGGAGCATGTGGGGTAGCACTTGGCTCCTGACGGGAGATATTTGGGGAGTGGGTGTCAGCTCAGGGCCCTCAGAAAGTGATTTAAGCAAATCCAGTGGCGCCAGGGCACCCGCCACCCAACAAAGCATCTTCCCCCCCTGCAGGGGTTTCGTCCCTCCGGGATGCCCCAGTGCGATGGGTGACAGTGCTTTGCAGGAGGAGGGATCCCATCAGATCCCAGCTGGATCCCAGTGCTGTGGATTTGGGGGTGGGGGGGAGGTAGGGAGAAGCTGGGGGTCCCACGGTGGAGCTGGGAACTGACTGGTTTCTTCCATGTCATCAGCTCGCACCGAAAATCTCCTTCGCATCCTTTAATCCCATAAGCAGCTGGGGGCAGGATGGCCACTCGCTTCGTTACTTAACGAAGCCCTTCGAGGAGGGGCTGCTCATTAAATCGGGTGGTCGGTGACATTGCTGGCGAGACCCCTCGGAGGCCGGGCGGCAGCCGAGGGCTGTGCCGAAACGCAGCGAGGGGGGTCCGGCTTTTGGGGTCACAGCCGGGGGAAAGTGAGTCACGGCTGACGGCTTAACTGAGAGGCTTAATTAAAGCATTAATTAGGGACTGAGAGCCCACCTCGTAGGGTAATTTGAAGTGACGGGGAGGGGGGTTGAAAGGAGCAGGGAGGCTGTGGGGCTGTCCTCTACCCTCCTGCTCTGGAAGGGGCGTCCCCAAAAGCTCATGCCCCCCCCCCCAGGGTTGCAGCACCCCGACAGAGCAGCCCATCCGACCCCAAGTCGGTCTTGGTGTGGGGTTTGGGGGTCCCCGATGTCCCCAGCCCTTGGGGACAGACCTCAGCAGGGGATGGTGGCACCGGGGATGGGGGGGCAAGAATCTTCTCTCACCTGCTTGGGCTTGTGGTGCTGGGGGCTGCCCGGCTCCTCGCTGGGGCTGTGGGGCACAGAAAGCAAAGGGATGAGGGCTTTCAGCCCTCCGCAGCTGCCGGGGGGAAGAGACCCTCTGGCTGAGCACCACCCCAATTTTTGGGGTGCTGGGGGAGGGGAAGGTCAGCCTTTCGTTCGGCTGCAGAAGCAGTTCCCCGTGTCTCGACCAGGTCGAGCTCTGCCAACAGCATCCTTCCCAGCAGGGAGCCTGGGATGGGCGCTGCCATGGCCAGGGGTGACAGCAACGAGGTTAATTTGGGGACCCCCC